ATTCATGGGGTTTATCTTTGAGAGCTTGCACCTGCTGCCCGGGCCATCTCTGCAGACAACATGAATGTTGTTGGTCATTCTCGTATCGATAGTTGCAGCGACAGCAGAAGTGTAGCACGGTGGCTCGTCTGATAACGAAGCTGCCTGGTGCGGCGTCATTTGTACATGTCGGGACACGCAGGCCAATCATATTGAATAGTCACCCAATGCGTCACCCAATGCGTCAAGGTCGCTCTTCAAATTTACGCAGGACTACTTCCAGCATGTAGAGTGCGAGGCCCGACGTGAAAAGAGAAGGATGAGGTGGTGGCTGCGGGGGGGGGACAAGCAAGAGGAGGAGCAGGAAGAGGAGGAGGGGGATGGTGGTGGCGGTGGTGATGGTGATGATGAGAGGAGGAGTGGGAAATACGAGGCGGAGGAATAATCATGCCCATTCCCCAAGGCGGCTCAATATGCGGCAAGTGCGGATTGTGACTTCGGGCTGAAATTCACTATTTGTGACCTGGGATCTCCGCGGCTGGAGCTTGGCACGCCCAGAAGAAAGGCGCCGCCTGGGCCTGGCACAATCTCTTTGGGGCGCTGCTGTTGTGTGGCACTGCGCAACCAGGGGATCCCCGAGGGCATTGCGCGGTGCGCCGCCGCAGCGTTTGGGGACTACCAACCGGGGGGGCCTGCCGCCAGTGCGCTCAGCTTTCCACGCTCGGCAGCTTCGAATCCGGCGCGGCACGAGGCCCTGCCGCGGCAGGGTCTACATCCCTGCAGGGGCGCGGGGATGGCCGTTGGGCCCCCCCTGTCCCTGGGAGGCCCATCCCCCCGTCGTCCCTTTCGCCCCGCTCCGCGCTTCGTGTGACTGCCGTGGGTCGGGATCGGGTGATTTCCGCTGCCTCTGGCTTGGTGATCTCCAGTTGCCTTGATGAAAAAGGTGCCCTCTAGCACCTTTGATCCCTCCAGTCCCGTCCTTTGTGATATATGTGCTCAGAGACAGGTGCTCGGCGTGCTGCCATCTACCCCAAGCGTCCTGTGGTGTTGGGTCCTCGTTTTGAAGAGACAGTCCCCGCGTCCTCCTCTGCTCTCCTCTTCTCCTCCTCCTCCCCCTCCTCCCTCCTCCCACTCCTCCCCCTCCCCTCACACGTTTCGTGGCCCCATGGGGAGCTCCACCTAAGGTGCCAGTGGCGCCGTACGCATGGCGGCGCCGCCCCATTTCGGCACACCCCTCACGCGTGTTATGGCCCCCTAGGGAGCTCCACCTGAGGTCCCAGTGGCGCCGTCCGCATGGCGGCGCCGCCCCATTTCGGCACAGCCCTCATACGTTTGTGGCCCGAATATGGAGCCCCACCCAATGCCCCAGTGGCGCCGTCCGCATGGCGGCGCCGCCCCATTTCGGCACAGCCCTCACACGTTTCGCGCCCCCTAGGGAGCTCCACCTAAGGACCCAGTCGCGCCGTCCGCATGGCGGCGCCGCCCCATTTCGGCACACCCCTCACACGCTTCGTGGCCCCATGTGGAGCTCCACCTTATGTCCAACTGGCGCCGTCCGCATGGTAGCTATTCCACCGACGGCCACGGTGGCTATGTTCGCATGCGCTTACCGCACCTATCCGTAAGGGCTTCGCCCCATGCCGCTGGCCCCCTGTCTCGGATAATGGGAGATGCAAAAGCTAAATCATGAGGTCTGGGCGCCGCCGTGAAGCAGTGTCGGGACCTGTTTGTTTTTCGACCCTGACCCTACGGATCTGCGTCAGGGGTGCCACCGAATTTCAGAAATGTTGCAAATTCGATTGTTTTCGGACCCTGACCCCGCCGATCTGCGTGAGGGGTGCCACCGAATTTTAGACATGTGGCAAATCCCATGTGTTTTTGGACCCCGACCCCGCCGATCTGCGTGAGGGGTGACAGCACATTTCAAAACATGTGGCAACTACCGTGTGTTTTTGCACCCTGACCCCGCCGATCTGCGTGAGGGGTGCCACTGAATCTCAGACATGTGGCAAATCCCTTGTGTTTTCGGACCCTGACCCCGCCGATTTGCGTGAGGGGTGAGAGCAAATTTAAAACATGTGGTAAATGTGTTTTTGGACCCTGACCCCGCCGATCTGCGTGAGGGGTGCCACCGAATTTTAGAAATGTGGCAAATACCGTGTGTTTTTGGACCCTGACCCCGCCGATCTGGGTGAGGGGGATAATTTTTTTCCCGCCCCAGCAATTCAGAGCACACGCTCAGGGCATGCTAAACCTGCCCGTTTGGGCCTCCCCCCCTCGCGCGGTCCATCAACAAGGAACAGTAAGCAGCAAGAAGCAGAACTGTAACAGTGGAAACTGGAAGCTGCAACTGGTACAGGAAACTGTGAACCTTCGGCCTACAGCCTGGTGGCCCCACAAGGGGGCCAGCGGATTTCGGCACACCCCTCAAACGTTTCGTGGCCCCATAGGGAATTCCACCCGGCCTTAGAGGCTGCTTTTGCATGCTCCCACCGCGCATTTTTTGGCACACGCTCAAACGTTTCGTTGCCATTATGGGGAGCCCCTCCGAATGCGTTGCATACAACGCATGGTACTCACAACTGCATATGGTTGTGTCCTTCGCAGTCTGTTTTTCCTCGCGGGCCCTCTTTCTTGAAGTGCCTGTGCACATCGCGCTGCCAGTCGCTGGTGATCGCCTTTCGGGTCGCCGTGAGCATGTCGTGTCCAATCGTCTGCAGCAAAGTGATCAGGTTCCTCCAGGCGCTTTCCGGTGACCCGTGGCTTGCCGCGAGGTGCTCCACGTCGTCGTAGCTCGTGTCCGTCAGGTGCTGCCCGATCGTCTTGTCCACTGCCTTTCAGAAGGGGATGGCGAGGTACCCCGTCTTGAGTGCAGCAACCCTTGTGCGGTAGGTTCGTGCGGCGATGGCGCGCCCGTGACGCCGGCGAAGGCGTTCAAGGTTGAACGCCTCATGATAGAACGACGCGGAAGCACCGAGGGACATTGTAACGCCGTTGGACCCGACGGAATTCAAATTTTGACGATTGGGGCCGCGAACAATTTAAGGTTGAACGATCGACGCGGTATCAAAAACCTTTGCGCGCGTCGACGCCGCACAAACCTACCGTAACGAAGTCCCATCGCCCTCTGTCGTCCATCTTCGTCGCAACACAGCCGTACGCCCAGCGCCATGAGGTGCGCCATGCGGTCCCTTACTTGCGGTTCTGGTATCGCACGTAGTCTCAAGGTTGAACGGTACGTTCAGCCGACCTTCGTAATTTCGTTCAGAGCAGACCTTTGTGTCACTATACGGTATTTCCAAGGGACATGTTGCTTCACACGTTTGCCGTGTCCGTAGCGGTTCGAACCCATGCTGTAGAAGGTGCGGACGAACGTCAAGTCACAGTTTTCCGCCATGAGTCTGTGTCGCGATCCTGCCATGTGTTCTTCTGCGCTCGAGTGTGGTCCGACGCTTTGAATTTTACTCATTTGTACGTCTGCAGATGTCATTGCCCATCCGATCCCGTTGTTCGTGTCCGTACCGATGACGGGTGTGGTCCTGCTCGGTAGCGTGGACCGCATGTTGGACGCGAGGTCCTCGAAGCCCAGTGTGGAATTCGCGATCCTGTGACGCTCTCTCCCGTGTTCGGCTTCTAGGGCAAAAATACAGGGCAATGACAGTCACGTCATTTGTCTTGTTGTTGATGCGGATGGCGCCCGTTCCCCCCCAATAGTTCCAATGCGGGGGTACATATTCGTATGGCCTGCTTAGTGTGTATCGTGGCTGTGTTCAAGTAGAAGCTCACTCCACATGCTCTGTCAGAACGTGTACATTCTTTTTGCTGGCCTCTGTGCACCACTGAAGTGTGGGCACTCCTCCACCTCGTAGGGCTTTCTCGTCGTCCCATGCGTGACCACGGCCATGCAAATGCTAACTTTCTGGTGCTCGTGCTATCTCAAGCGCGCGGTCTCTTGTCCGAACGGCTCGGCGGGTTTCAGTAGAGCACGCGCATCGTCAGCAGCATGGTGAGGTAGAGTAGAAGTAGTAGTAGTAGTAGTAGTAGTAGTAGTAGTAGTAGTAGTAGTAGTAGTAGTAGTAGTAGTAGTAGTAGTAGTAGTAGTAGCAGTAGCAGCAGTAGCAGTAGTAGTAGTAGTAGTAGTAGTAGTAGTAGTAGTAGTAGTAGTAGTAGTAGTAGTAGTAGTAGTAGTAGTTTAGTAGTAGTAGTAGTAGTAGTAGTAGTAGTAGGAGGAGGAGGAGGAGGAGGAGGGGGAGGGGAGGAGGAGGAGGAAGAGGAGGAGGAGCAGGACGAGGAGGAGGATGCTCCTGGGGGGCGCTGCGGGCTGCAGGGTGGGTGGTGCCCACACTTCCAGGTCGGCTCCGCCATGGCGCGGCCGCGCGTGACGCGGCCACCCCCTCATTCCTGGCTGTGCCCAAGTGGCTAGGAGGAAGAGGAGGAACACCATGAGGAGGGCGTCTGTAAAAATGGTACTCGTTTCCCAGGGCCCTCCAAGAACCCTCCTCCTCCTCTCCTCTCCTCCTCCTCCTCCTCCTCCTCCTCCTCCTCCTCCTCCTCCTCCTTCATTGTGCTCCCAGGGCCCTCCAAGAACCCTCAAGAACCCTGTGGAGCACAATGAAAGTCCCTGGCTTCACACTCCCCCCTTCCACGCCCCGCTCTCGACCGATGCTGCTCTTCATCCCATGTGCCTTCTCCCCCTCGTGGCCCTGTCTCTCTCTCTCTTTCCTCCCTTCTCTGTCCCTCCCTCGCTCCCCACTCGCCCTTCCCTTCCCCCCCCACAGAAGGCAACGATGGGGCCACTGAGGGTAGCACCTGGGCCACGTAGAGCAGTGAGGGGGCCACAAGCGGCGACAGCGGGGCCACGAAGGGCATGCACATGGGGCCACAACGGGCGCGACTCCTGGGTGCCTGGCTCGTCCGTCATCCCTACCTCCCGCCCCTCCCTCCCTCCTTTCGCCTCCGGCCGGCCCGCTCCCCAGGGCCGGAGCGCGTCCACCCCTGCAGGTAGGCGCGCGCGCTGCGACATGCAGACGCGAGCAGTCCCGCGGGAGAACGGGTCGCCTTCCAGGACGGTCTCCATCCGTCGGCCGTCGCCGCGCCCCCGCGAGGCGTCGGTGCAGCTCATGCGGCTGAAGAACGCCAAGATCGGCTCCGAGGCGCGCTGGAAGCCCTCGTCCTTCCCGCCCCTTCCTTCTCCTCCCACCTCTTTTTTCCCCAACCTTTCTCCTCTCTGCTCGCTCCTCCTCCCTCCTCCCTCCTCCTCCCTCCTCGGCCCTCCTCGTCTTCTTTACTCTTCTCTCATCCGCCCCCCTCTTCCGTCCTCCTGCCTCTTCCTCCCTCGTCCGTCCTCCTGCTCTCTCCGCCCTCCTCCTCCTCCTCCTCCTCCTCCTCCTCCTCCTCCCTCGTCTCTCACTCCAATCTCGTGCTCGTTCTTCTTCTATCCTCCGGTCTTTTCCTTCACCTCCTCCTCCTCCTCCACCTCTCCCTCTTCTTCCTCCTCCGCCCTCCGTCTCGGGGCTCCTTCCGAGCCTCCTCCTTCCCCCCTCCCCCATAAACGGGCTCACCTCAGTTCTTCAATGCCGCCTTTTTACCTCCTCTCTTGTCAATCCGCCGCCGCCTTCTCCTCACCCCGATCAGCCACCAGCCAGGTTTAGATGTCTCGCCCGAATTGGTAATTCAGTTTCCATATCAGGTTACACCTCTGACAGCTCGCCTGTGTGCAAGCAGGTCCATTGTGTGAATCTTGCTAGGTTTTATCAATGTTACGATTTTTGATTGTATTTCCGGAATCGACTGACAACATAAGAGCTAGTTCGCTTCGCATCATTGCCTCCTCTCTCCCCGCTCTCGTCTTCGGCCGCTTGCGTTTAGCACGGACAGTGCCTTGATTTTTCTGGCCAGGAGGCGGCGAGCGGTGAGCAGTCGACTCTGCTACCGAGCATCGTCCTGTCTATGAGTCGATACCAGGTTCTCTAAGTACCCTCCTTCCCCCTCCTCCTCCTCTTCCTCCTCCTCCTCCTCCTCCTCCTCCTACGCCTCCTCCTCCTCCTCCTCCTACTCCTCCTCCCTCCTCCTCCTCCTCCTCCTCCTCCTCCTCCTCCTCCTCCTCCTCCGCAACAGCTCTCGCATCACGTTTCAACATGGAAGAGCGGACGGCAGTTTACTATAAGCGCAAACGGGGATGGGCAGGGCGGATAGCAGCACAGTCCTGCTGGGTCTGGACCAGCCTCGCTGAGGGTTGGGAGCCTGACGCCCAAGGCACCAGGCCATCACGATGTAGACGCGGCGGGCAACGAAAACGCTTGGGAGACGGCACGTAGCAGCATCTACAATCTACGAGAAAGGTGTCAAGATTTTTCGGACACCGGCTTTCAAGCGCAACCTTTTTCGCGTAGGTGCTGTACTTCCCCAGCCGCACTCATCTTTTTTTTGCCAGCGTGCCACGCGCGCAGCCAACCGCGGCAGCTCAGCGTAGCCTCAACCGCCCTTCCCCCATCGCGCCGCAGGCTCGCCACCCTGACGACCATGCAGCTCCCGCAACTCCCTGCTTGCTAGGCCTCGCCCTGCACTGCTGCCGCTGGTTCCTCCTCTGGGCGCGCCCGCGACGCCGACCCGAGCCTGCTGCCAGGGGCTGCCCCGCGGCCCGGCCGCCCCGCGCACCCCCCCGCGGCCTCGCCGCGCGAGTGCGGTTTCCTTCTTCGCCCCCCTCTCTCTGCGGCCGCCTCTCGTCTTCTCCCCTCCTCCTATTGCATGCGCCCGGCACAACTTGAAGTGCTGTGGCCCGGGTTGCCCGGACGCGCGTGCGGGCTGCTTCTGACGTTCTGCGATGCAAGCGAGTTTCTTTTGCCGAGCGTTCGGTGTGTGGCGGCGCTCGCGCTGTATCGCCAGCGGTTGCATCGCGCTGTCCGCTCCCAGCTTCTCCCTACGATTTCCCCGACCACGTGCACTATTGACAAGGGGCGTCTGGCCCATTCGCCTCGGGGCCTGCAGGCTGGCGGATTCGCGCGTCCTGCATCCTGCGCCGTTCAAGAGAAGATCCTTTTAGCCCACTCCATGTGGGTTGCTTTGGTCTGCGCCCGTATCCGCGTCGTGCGCACCATTGGCATGGATCCCAGCATATGAGGGCCTGTCGAAAAGGTGGGTTGCGCCAGCTGCGGCGGGTGTGTCACATGTCCATCTGGCAATAACAGGCTGCGTTGCGCCAAAGGGTCCTGCAACGCAGGACACAACGCAGTTCGCGACCATGGGTATGCATCCTCCAACGATGTTGAGTGCAACGCAGAACTCAAACCAGTAAACCGTGTGAGCTCCCGTCCACTGTTTCGCTTTGCGGACGTTTTGGCTGGCGCCCAGGATCCGTCCAGGCGTTTGGCGGCAGTGGGCGTGGGGATCAATGCGCCTATGGCGGACGGGGCAGGCGGCGACTGCGTGGAAACGGTGGTGCGCCGCAGCCAGCGTCGAGCAGACGGTTTCTGGACCGAGCTTGTGGACGTCGGAGAAGACTACCGGGTCCTGGTTGTGAATGCCTTCGGCCGCTTCCACGATGAGTTCTTTTGAGTACTGCAGTCGGTCGCCCGCGCGCACGCGCGGCGGCGAGGCGCGGGTGGAGCTGCACCACGTGCAAACCCAAATCGTCGCCAGCGTCTGGCGTCGCGCCGTTCGCATGGTGCGAGCGTGCACGCCGTTGGGCATGGACGAGGATGACGCGGCCGACCTGGAGCCTTCGGACCAGGCCATTGCCGAGAGGCGCGGGCGCCCAGGGGCTGTCCCAGCGGACGGCGCCGCGCCAAGGGCGGCTTCGGTGTCGAGGAAGGCACGAGAAGACGGTGACGAGCTCCCGCCACAACAACGCGAACAGGGACAATGACGACGCTACTGGGTACCCCAAACCGTCGTCGCACGTTCAGACTACGTTCGCGAATCCAACGACCGACGCGCATATCGCGAAGTGTGTTCGCGAGTGCGACGCGGTCCATCAGGAAAAGAAATATACGACGAGCAACGAGTGCCACTATGTGCATCCACGAATTGCGTCCTTGGAACAGCAGGTTTCGGTTAGCAGAGCATGCAAGCGAACGACCGCTCCTGCTGCCAGAGGGCCTGGCCAGTAGAAGGTCCTCGGTTCCCAGCTCCCCTCACTCGCGCGATCCTTTATGAAGGGCGCGGTTCGTATGACGCCCTCTCAGCTTAGCTTATTTTTGCTTCGTTGGTTTGGGGGCGGTTTTCGTACTCGGACCGACGAGGCGCAGGCAGGCTCGATTGAGCACCAGACTCGAACGTTAGGTCTCTATGCTTCGATCCTCTATAGGTCTCCCTCCTCCGCCGCCGTTTAGCTCGGGGTGCTCGGGGATGCGGAAGGCGGCCGCCTTCCGTGCCCGCGTTATTCGCGTCTGACACACGTCGTTTTATTCTTGCAAGCAGTGCTTTCTGATACCCGTCCTTTACTTCTAGTTTATTTCCTCTGCCTGAGTCGGCGACCCGATTTTCGGCCGCGCTCGCCGGACAACTTCTCATCGCTGACTGCCTGCCAGCTCAGTTTTGCAATTCGGCCTGGGTCAGGGTCAGTTGTTCCATGTAGTTGTCTTTGTCGGTAGCAATCGTTGCAATGTTTCGTGGGGGCGTCTGTGCGCCCTTTGGTTGATTGGCCGGGACCTCCGAGTCTCTGTTTTTCGTTTTCTCCGGCCAGGCCTTGTAGTTTCCTCGTCTGTGGTGTCCTAGCTTCCAGAGCGGCCCTGCTTTTGCGGCCCCACCGCTTGACTGTATAATCTTCCAGTGAATCTCGTCGGGCCCGCGCGGCCGCCACGGTGTGACAAACAAAATCGCGGCATCTGAGTCTTGAATCCTAAGTTTTCCCTGCCCCCCCTCCCCCCGGCGACCCGGAGGTCGTAGAGTGCCTTCCTCCGCGTATTGGTTCTTGCACATCGGATCCCCAAATGGTGATGGATGTTCTGTGCGTTTCTAATCCGAACGTGTTCGGTGTTTCCAGCATGGCGGTCCCGCTACAGCGTTAGATCCATTTTCTGACTTTCGGTCCCTCCAAGTCATACGCCCAGCGCTGACCTCATTTCTTTGTCGCGGATCTTCCATATCGTGTTCCTGCTGCAGCGTCGGCTTTCATTCAACGCTTGTCTTTGTTTGGGCGCTTTCCAACCTGGATGTTGTCGGTCCTTCAGAAAACGCGATATCGCATCATTGTTAGCTCCAGTTCCGCACAATCGGCTCTTCCACAATGGCGTTCCCGTGTTATCGTCAGTTCCACTTCGGTGTTCTCGGCCGAATTGGAGAAGAGATCTACCCCATGGTAAAGGATGGGGGCGGAAAAGGGGTATTACGTCAGATGTGACGCGAGCGCACCTAGCTACTTTCTTCCCTTCCTGAAGAGATCGACCCCGAGGTGTCTCCCCTCCTCCTTCCTGAAATGTTTCAGATTTCGCCGACCACGATATGGTCTTTTTGGAGTTGCAGGTCGGCTACAACACACGTCCGTGGATAGAGAGGAACCAGCGCAACGGGAAGGGATGTGAGGGAGGGGTGGGTCGGATGTCGGATGTGGCGCCTGCGCGCCTGGTTTGCCTCCCTCCCTCGCTTCGCTCCTCCTCCCCGAGAAGCTCGGCCCCGAGGTGTCCGCGGACGGCTCTCCCAGCGAGCCGACGGCGCGCGCCTGCCGCCTCCCCCGCTGCCCCCCGCCGCTGCCGCGCGCCCCCCCCCCATCCCCCTCCAGGGATGCGGGGGGGGGGGGGAACCCGTCGGCGACCCCATGGCGGACAGCAGGGGGGGGTGGGCCTCTGGGGGTCCCAGAGCGGGGTGGTGACCCGTCGTGCGGCGATCCCGAGCTCCCCGAAAGACCTCACCGCAGGGGTCCGTCGCCGCACGGTTCTGGGACCCGGAGGGCCCCGTCGCCCGAGGCGTCTCCTCGGAGAGCGGTCCGACAGCCTCGGAGTCGTGCGGTGGCCCCGGACCCCCACTACACCACCGCGCTCGGGGGCGGCAAAGAGGGGGGTGATGACTAGGGGCGGGTGGATATCATGGCGGGGGCCACGATATCTCCCCAGATTTCATGGCGCCTCTTCTTATTTCATTACGTCCCTGGCCCCCCCGCTGGGCCGCGCGCGTGCCGCCGGTCATGATTTGTTGCACCCCCCTCTCTCTGACACCCCCCTCTTGGCCGCTCCCGACGCGCTGTGTGATCACCACATCGTTTGCGTCTTCTGATGAGCCTTCGGAGGGAGACTTTCTCAGAGGGCTCGGGAGGCCTCTGGTTTCAGGCCTCCAGAGTGGGGTTCGAGCATGTGGGGTCGGAGGATCGCACCGCATCGCCGATGCATCGGCGATGCTGCTCCACGCCGACGCCGCCGATGCATCGCCGACCTTGCTTTTGCATCGCCCCCGTCAGGGATGCAGGGGTGGGGAAGGAGAGGAGGGTGCGGGGGTCGAGGAGACGCAAATGTAGATGAGTGCGCGGGGATTAGCGGCGGGTCCCATTTTCGCGCAGCACTGCGCTCCGCCGCCAAGTCGGTCTGGCACCGTCGCCGCGGTTCGGCGGGTGCCTTCCCCGAGCCGTAGAGCTGGCGCCCGCGCGCCAGGTCCACGAACCCCTGCTCCCTGTTGGCGTGTGCCCGAGTGGCGGCTAAACTCAGGAGGGGAACACACACAGACACAATTAATCGTCGATTCCCCAGAAAATATGGGAAAATATGGGAAGTGGGGGGGAAGACAAAAACCCAGAAAACATTGGAAAATATGGGGAATATTCTTATTTGTGTGTATTTATTTGTGTGTCCTGGGGCCCCTTCATAAACTCGGTCAGGAGAAACTCGGCCAGGCTGAACGCTCCCGTCGTCCGATGGCGGCGGCGGCGGCGACGACGACGACGATGACGAGGACGAGGTGTTCAGCTTGGCCGAGTTCTGCCTTGCCGAGTCTTTACCTTCTCACGGGAAGGGGGGTTGGAGTGGAGGTGGGGAAGGACAGGAAGGTGCGGGGGGGGCCCTGACTTCGGATCCGCCGTACTTTGGCTAATTATCCGACTTACGATTGCGTGAGAAATGCACCCCGCAGGATGCGAAAAGCTAGGGCGGACATGTCCGCCTTGGAAAGAGGGGCGGACCTTTCCGCAAAGAACGGCGGAAACAGCGACGGTAAAGTGGGGCGGAAATCGACATCAAAGGAGCTTGACAAGAAGGGTAGGAAATTCCGCCCGACTCGTGAAATCGGCCAAATACGGCGGAGCCGGAGTCCAGGAGGAGCAGGAGCAGGAGAAGGAGAAGGAGGAGGAGGAGGATGATGAGGAGGAGGAGGAGGAGAGGAGGGGCTCTCCGGTGCAGCTCTCCTTCTGAGAGATCGGCATCATCTTAGGGCACGCGCCGCTGAGCCCCTCGTCCTCGCGTGAGGGCCCAACGGGTGCTAACTTTGGCCTGTGCGTTTGTTCGCCTGCACTCCACTTGCAGTGATAGCTTATACAAACTGGACGGATCCAGACCATCTTAAGTCCCTAATATAAGCCACCACGTGTGCTGTGGGGGTTGGGAATCTGATCCTAGTCCGATGGTTCACTATTCATGTGTCCTCCTTCTCTCTCCTCCTCCCTCCTCCTCCCTCCTCCGCCTTTCTCCTCCTCTCGTCTCTCCCGTGGGGCCGGGCAGGAGAGGAGAGGGTGATGGTAAAAGAAGGCGCGGGGAAGAAACGGAGACTCTTCTGCAGATCCTCTGAATTTTTCGCACGTTCAGCACGTGTGCGGCCTCAGCTGGACGCCGTCTTTGCTGATTCTCCTGGGGCATTGTTTGGGGTTGGAATCCGCTCGTGTGGGGTCAGTGATGATGACAAGGGAAAGGAGGTGGAGGGGAAGGGAGGGGGAGGGAAAGTGGAGGAGGGAGCAATCTGTCACGGACAGCCGGTCGGCTCAGAGTGGCAGGCGTGAGGGAGCGCAATCGCCCATAGCTCTTCCCAAGGGATCGCCACGTAGAAAACTAACTTGGTGCGCAGCAGACTCATGCTGTGTCGAGGGAAAGTGGAAGAGGGAGCAATCTGTCGCGGACAGGGGCCTTGCTCGGGACAGGCTGCTGGGCCGTCTGCCTCGTTCGCGACAGTTAGTTGGGCCGCCTCGGGCCTTTCTTCGGGGCCTCTCACTTTGCCCCGCTTCCCCCCAAGGGCGCCAGCCGTTGGCGCGCGCAGGGTAGGCCCTCTTCCACCCTCCTCTTGGCCGTCCTTCTTCTTCTTCTTCTGCGTTTCCTTGGCCCCTGGTCTCGCTTTTATGTCTAATCCTCGTTGTGCTTTGCATGAGGTTTGGATGTTTGCGTGCATCAATACATCAGGGAGATGGATGAGGAGGAGGAGGAGGGACGATGAGGAAAGAGGGATGAGGAGGAACAAGGAGGGAGAAGGGACTGTGACTAGGAGGAGGGGGAGGGACCAGGAGAAGGAGGAGGAGGAGGAGGAGGAGGGGGAAGGGAGGAGGAAAGCATCAGGAGGAGCAGGAGGAGGAGGAGGAGGAGGAGCAGGAGGAGCAGGAGGAGCAGGAGGAGGAGGAGGAGGGAAGAGGGAGGAGGGAGGAGGGATGAGGGGGAAGAACAAGGACTTGTTTTTCGTTGTGCTTCCGTTGCGTTTTTCGTGTTTGTTTTCACGCGTTTGAACTTGAAACATTTTTTGTGGTGCGCGTTTCGTTTTTCGTGTTGCCGCGATTCCAAGGTTGCGTTTCGTGTCGTGTCGCGCCGCCTTCGTCTTTCGATGTTTTGATTGCGTGTGATGGGAATGCCGCTTATTGCCTCATGTTTCGTTTCGTTGTTCGTTTTGTGTTGATGTTGTGTTTCGTTTTCGATGGTTCGAGGCCGGGCAATCATTTTCCCCTCGCTTGGGTCGCAATTGTGCGGCGTTCGTTTCGTTGTCCGTTTCGTTGTTGTTGTTGTTGTTGTTGTTGTTGTTGTTGTTGTTGTTGTTGTTGTTGTTGTTGTTGTGGTTGTTGTGGTTGTTGTGGTTGTTGTGGTTGTTGTTGTTGCTGCTGTGGTTGCTGTTGTTGTTGTTGTTGTTGTTGTTGTTGTTGTTGTTGTTGTTGTTGTTGTTGTTGTTGTTGTTGTTCTTGTTATGGTTCTTGTTCTTGTTCTTGTTCTTGTTCTTGTTGTTCTTGTCGTTTTGCTACTCTCGTGGCCAGAGCTTCACCTTTGGCCCCAGCCTCGGCCGTAACCCCAGCCATAATTCCTGTGCGTTCGTTTCGTTGTTCGTTCTGTTGTTCGTTTCGTTTCTGTCGCCCCTCGCCCTGGCCACAGTTTCCGGGCGTTCGTGTCGTTTTTCGTTTAAGTATTTTCCCCCGTTGTTGATCTTGTTGTTGTTGTTGTTGTTGTTGTTGTTGTTGTTGTTGTTGTTGTTGTTGTTGTTGCGCTCCTGGTCTTATTTTCAGCCTGGGCCCCAGCCTCTGCTGTAGCCTTTCCGTCGATCGGGTGTTCGTGTCGTTGTTCGTTTCGTTTTTCGATTAGTTTTTGTCGCCTCTCGCCTGGGCCATAGTTTCCGAACGTTCATTGTGTTTTTTTTTTGTTGTTTCCTCCCCCGCCTGGGCCCTAGACTCCAGGGCCCTAGCTTCTTGGGCCTTAGAGTCTAAGGACACAGACTTCTGGGCCCTAGACTCCGAGGCCCTAGACTCCGAGGCCCTAGACTCCAGGGCCCTACACTTCAGGGCCCTGGGCTCCTGGGCCCCAGACAGCTGGGCCCCAGACCCCTGGGACCTAATCTCCTGGGCCCTAGACTCTAGGGCCCTAGACTCCAGGGCCTTAGACTCCTGGGCCCTAGACCTCTTGGCCCTAGACTCCAGGGCCCTAGACTCCTGGGCCCTAGACTCCAGGGCCATAGGCTCCTTGGCCATATACTCCAGGGCCCTGGGCTCTTAGGCCCGAGAATCCAAGACCCCAGAATCCTGGGCCTTAGACTCGTTGGCCGTAGGTTCCTGGGTCCTACACTCCAAGGCCCCAGACTCCTCCTGACTCTCAGACTCCAAGACCGTACTTCCTAGCCTGGGAATCAAATTGGGCCCGAAGTAGTGACAAGCCGGATTTCGGGTGACTCGCCCGCGCGTGGGTCACCCGATCGCGCGCGCGCGGACGCGGCGAGTTCTGTATTGTCTACATTGGGAAAATTGCCATGCTGGCTTGAGAAATTATCTGAAGCCTCAACGGTGACCAACCGGATTGTGTGACCCGCCCGCGCGTGGGTCGCCCGATCGCGGGCGCGCGGACGCTCGTGTTGAAGATTTCTGTACGGTCGAGAATAGACGACTCGCTATGTTGGGCTGGAAATTAGCATGATGCCTTCCCGGTGGCCAGCCAGATGTCGGGTGACCCACCCGCGATCCAGTTGGTCACCGTTAAAGCTTCAATGTCGCTTTCAGGCCAGCATGGTGACTTTTCCAACGTGGACACTACAGCATTCCCCACGCGCGCGCGTGGGATCGGGCAACCCACCCACGCGCGCGTCCGCGCGCGCGCGATCGAGTGGCCCGTGCGCGGGGGGTCACCCGCAATTCGGTTGGACACAGTTAAATCCGAACTTCAGCTTCCAGGCCAACATGGCGACTTTTCCATTGCGGACACTACAGAACTCCCCACGCGCGCGTCTGCGCGCGCGCGCGATCAGATGACCCTCGCGCGGGCGGGTCACCCGCAATCTGGTT